GTACAATAATTGAACCTTAATGACAGTTTGTGTGATCCATTCAGAGTAGTGGGAATCTTATATCTACTGCTTTCTGATTGAAGCCACTGCTGTTTTTCTAGAGTTGATTTGAGCTAATACTAGATAGTATGCTAGTCTGCTGGTATATTGTCTCATGAAAAAAAAGTTATCAGGAGAAGCGTGTTTTTACTTTTTAAAAGTTACTTTTACAGAGGCGGGAGTGTAGGCTTGATTAGGTTTAAATGTTTATTTCACCTCATGTAATATAAGCAGTATTTCCAGCCAGTTGACTAAATTTGATACGCCGTATCATTACACCCCTAGTGAGAACCTTTTTGGTGGGAATTAGCAGTACAGTGTGAGATTAAGGGAGGAATGACGAATGTAAGGAATGAGTCCTATGTGAAGAATTCTCCAACACTAACAGTACACGCGGGGGATGGAAAACTTTTAACTGGATGTTGTTTGCACAGTACAAACACTAAACTGTAAGCATTAATGATTAATAAAGGAATCCATTAACCGAACAGCGCTCAGTGGGACAGCCATATTTGAAATTTAGCTCTAAGGCTCCAATGTATGGCATTATAAAATACTGCCTTGACCTCCTGCTAATTGGTGTGCCTTAATGGTGTGCTTGGCTGTGCAACTAATGTAAACAACTTTAACTGGTGACGACGTTATTCCAGCCCCTGGTGTCACGGGTCCCTTGATTCCAGACCAGCAGGTTTATGGGCCATAACTGAGCTGATTTTGCCAGCTGAGATCCTTTTTTCTGGCACAATTGTATGAGATTATGCCCTGGAAAAGCCCTATGTGAGAAATTCTGGGACACCGACAACATACTTAGCGTGAAGGAATAAATTTGCACACAGGGAATATCCTCTGTAATGTTTTTCCCACTCCCACTCAGTTTCTCACAGAAAGACAATGTGTGTGTGTGTGTGAGAGAGAGAGAGAGTGAGAGAGAGACAGAGAGAGAGAGACAGCAGAAATAAACAGCCGTGCCATGATGATCCACAGAGAGCACAGCGGCGGGTTTTTGACTGCGGTCCAAGCCGACAGCTGACAGCCGCCTGTGTGACATGGTGTACAAGCAGATGTGGCGGCACCTTTCCAAATCCTTCTTCGCTCCATTCCTCCATTCCTCACTTCCTCCTGCTCTCATATCACCCCTTATTGGAAGAAATCTAGTCTATTTTTCTTCCCATTACATCTTGGGCCCTATTCATTGATCCCCATTTCCTCCCCATATTTTTTTTATATATTCCAATGCCTGAATCATCCACATGGCACCTTTTCCCTCTTTCCTCTTCCCTGTTTTTCCCCACCTGCATGGTGTATGGCACCTGAGATGCACCTGACTGCACTCAAGTCCAAACATACTCTCACACAGCCGCATACGTATGGTCTCCCTCCCTCCTTCTCTCTCTCCCTCCTCTGCATTAGCTCCTAATTACCAGCTAATAAGTCATTACTCTTGCCATCCATGGGGGAATAGAGGGGCCTGTTCACCCCATTTTTAATTCTGGCACCCACTCCACATGGCTGCTCATCCACAGGGTGTGGGTGGCATCCATACACACGCTGTGTATGTGTGTGTTCATGCAAGACAGCCTCCATTCCAGCTAACATCTGGATCCGTTGCAGTTCAATTGTGGGAATTGAGAAATATGATCCAAACTTGACCAGTATGGCTGTGCATTGGCAATCTGAGACATATGAACCTTAGACCTTAACATGTAAAATCATGATTGTTCTGTATATGCACCTGTTTATTAGAAAAAAATGCCATATTTTCTCAACAGATTTTCTTCTCAAACTTAATTGTAAGCATATACAGTAATATCATAATTCTATGAATCATTTCATAGTTATTTTTGTAGTTTTAAACTGTGATAATTACTTATGGACTGCTACTACAATCTTCATGTTACAGTTATGAGTCCTGTATTAAAATTTGTGTGCATACTTTGGTCATAGAAATCCATGTTTATGTGGATTTCTCTACTTACCCGAAACCTTTCTAAAATGCAAAGACATAAAGAAATTTTAAAGATTGAGGCACTTCATACTTTCTCCTCATTCACACAATCAGCAGCAGAGCTGTATATGTGTGTAGATTGGCAGATTGGAGAAGAATTCATGTTCTGCCGAATAAATGCCGCTGATCATTTGCAGCGTGTCTGTGAAGCTGCACATTAGAAAAAGCCTTGAGGGAAGAAGAGAGAGAGAGAGAGAGAGAGAGAGATGGCAGCAGCTGTGCTGGAATTAATGTCTGCATGCCAAATTAGAAACACCATGCATCTCCGTCAAAATAAAAAAAAAGAAAGGAAAAAGAACAAGTGAGAAGGAGAGAGAGGTCTGGTGCTGAAGAATAGAACGAGAGTAAAACAGACTGGCACATCCTCCAGCTGTAGAGTGAATAAACACAGATGCAAGAAACAGAATTCGGAGAATTAAAAGACGCCGTTTGGATTTACAGTGTGGAACGGAGTGAAGTGTGTGGTGTGCGATGCAGATAAAATCTTGGCTCAGCACCATAAATCTCATGCTGTCTGAGCAAAAGCTGATCATCTCTACAGTATACTGCTATATACTACTAATTTTAGCACTTCAACACTTCAGATTATTATGACTAGAAGATTATTATCTTTAAACCTTTCCACCAAGTTTTGCACTGGAGGACATGTATCCACTCTAGTTACACAAACTATGCAGGCAGCTATAATGTAACTACTGAGGATGTTGGCACTGTTACAGATGGATTACAGCAGTACATCATATGTACACTTGTATCAACTTCAGTTTTGGCTCGTGTAAGTGCACAAGTGTATGTTGACATTTTAAAATCTATCTATCTATCTATCTATCTATCTATCTATCTATCTATCTATCTATCTATTTCCTACATATGGACTACACAGGAACTAACCACTAATTTTAAAGCGTAACCTCTTTGTAAACTTAGACTTTAAAATAATATGCAAACAATACATTCAGGCATTAAGCCTGATGTTTTATGAGAACTGTTAGTTATGATTTTATTAAAAGAACTGGAATGTTTCAGAAAGTAGACAGTTATTATTATTGTGTGCATAATTATGAAAGTGTTTACTCTAGATTTTGATATGTCTATGTATGTGTGTGTGTGTGTGTGCTTGTGAGTGTAAATAGTGACAGAGAGAGAGAGAGAGAGAGAGAGAGAGTGTGTGTGTGTGTGTGTGTGTGTGTGTGTGACCTGAATAACATTATCAGTTCCTGGATCAATACTGACTGTACAGAGCCTTTCTAATGATACCTGCAGGGCACAAGGTTACACACCCCAGGGCAACACACTCACACTGCAGCCATGAATACAGGATGAAGGTGTGAATGTGTGTGATATATGTGTAGTGGAAGAGTCTGTGTGTATATAGTGTATGTGCAGTATACATGTATCATGGTTTATGACTGTGTGTATGTGTGTGTGTGTTAGATTTGTTGTAATATTTTCATATTCAGATACCAAATATCCACATTGGAATTAAGATCCCATGTACTACTTTTAGTCTGTGTTATGCTTTTTTTGTTGTTGTTAAAAGCCCCTTGTTGCTTGTGTATATTATTGCTCTGAATAAATGGCACCTTTGATGGCATAGTTTCACATGATTCTCATCAATTATAATCCCAAATATAGGTACTGTATTGAGCGTATTGTGCAATATGTAGGTTCTATAGTGCCATTATGCTATACCCTATTCTGACTAAATAAAAAAATGTACAAAGACAAGTTAAAAAAATTGAACTTTTTATGTGAGTCTCAGGATGAATAAGAAATGTAAAATTGAGGTAAATGGTCACTGTCTGTGGTAGTATAAAATTATAGGCTCATTAACATTTGAATGCATTTGAATACTAAACCTTTTTAAAAAAATGAGATAGAGACTTACTTTGTGAAAACAAAGCTACATTCTGCCTGTGTTTTCCCTAACCTCTATGTCTGTGTCTGTAAGCGTGTGTGTGTGTGTGTGTGTGTGTGTGTGTGTGCAGGAGTGTTGGTGTGCAAGCTCAATATACGTTAGCATGAAGGTTAGGTAGATGTCAGCTGAAGGACGAGCGAGCAGATGGTGGCTCAGTTGAGTGTGCACACGTGTGTGCGCCTGTTTGTGTGTGTGTGTGTGTGTGTGTGTGTGTGTGCAGGTGTGTATGTCTGTGTCCTAGAGCTGTAAAACACAAGGATTGTTTTCTGATTTTTACCTTTTTAAAAAAATAATTAAAGAAAGAGACTACCCTCTTTCAAAATATCTTGCAGCATACAGTATGTCAAAGGGCCAAACTTTATGTGTGATGTGAAAATTTCATTTAAAGATACCTTATGACTCCACTGAATTTCACTAACATACTAACTGTATGAAAGCAATTGCTATTTATTTACTAATATTTAATAAATGAAATATAAAAGTGCTACATATGATCTTGATACCTGCTTTTATTCAAAGCTTACATATTAATAGTCTATTCAGAAGTCCCACCCATTCAGTAGTCATTGTTTATTAATAATACCTTTTAATTTTATTAATTTGATTTAAAATATAATATAAATATAAAAAAGGAGAATAACCTTTTAGATTACTAGAATTCATTATAAACTAGACTATTATCCTAAACTATTATCCTGAGATGACAGGCAAATGCAAGCAAACTTGCTACGTCTTATGGCTTATGTCCGTTTCACTATGACACATAACCAACAACCTGATAAAAGCATATAAGCACACTTATCTAGCAAGCTTGCAATTAAAACACCTTTAGGCAGACTGACCATTTTGACACCCATGATTGCCACCACAGCAGATCCTCCAACTCCATTGTGGAAATCTGGTTTATGATCTGCATATGTTGATTTGGCACAGGTTTTACAACGGAGGCCTTTCGTAATGCAACCCTCCCATTTTATCTGGGCTTGGGACTGGCACTGAGAGTGCGCTAGCACATGCAACCCCAGTGGCTGGGTCTGGCACCTGACATTGGGCTCAAACCTATGATCCTGAGATTAAGAGTCTCATGCCCTACCAACTGAGCAAGGCAGGCACCAGAGTCACTTATACAGTAGGTGTAAAGTAAAAGATAGGTCAGCTGTCTCTCAGCTCAGAATTTGGTCAGAATTCCAAATCAGATTTTGGCATTAACAGTGTGAACCCTTGGACCCAACCTGCCTTGTGTCACCAGTTCAGGCTGCTGGTGGTGATGTAATGATGTGGGGGATTTTTTTTTTTTTTTGGCACACATTGGGCCCTTTAATCAATAGAGCATTGTTTAAATGCCACAGCCTATCTGAGCATTCCTTTATAATGGCTACTTCCAGCATGATAATGTGCTATGTCACAAAGTCATCTCAAACTGGCTCCATGAACATGACAACAAGTGTACTTCTCTGACCTCCTCAGCCACCAGATCTGAATCTAGTAGAACACTTTCGTGACGTGGCAGAACAGGAGATTTGCAGTATGAATGTACAGCTGACAAACTGCAGCCATTATGTGATGCAATCATATCAAAATGGACCAGAATCTCAAAAGGGATGTTTTCAACGAATTGTGGAATGCATGCTATGAAGAATTGAGGCTGTTCTGAGAGCAAAGAGGGATCCTACCCTGTATTAGTATGGTGAGCCATTTTTATTTACGGCTCTAAAATGGAAAGTATGTTGATACTTCCTCATAGTATGGAACTATAGTCAAAACATCAATGCAAGTCACACTCAGATTATTCAGAATCGTGGCTGATTACGAATAATACATATTTTTTCCTTTAGCCCTTTTCTTATTTGACCTGTATACATGTAAATACACAGCTCTTAACCTAAAACATCCAGCTCAACCCTGTGACCTTGCGTCTTATTAATTACACCACACACAAAGGGCACATCCAAATACTACTGTCTGAGAAAATCTCTTCAACAAGCTAATATTTATCTTATGGTCACCAATAAAGCTAAAAGTTTGTGTGGTTTGGGGCAGTATAATCAATAAGAGAAGAGCTGTGTCGAAAAAAAAAGAAAAGAAAGAAATTAAATGTGCTCTATTACAATATTCAGTGGCTAGTTATTAGCCTGAGTGCTAATGGGCTAATTAGTTTCCCTGTGTCTGCATGGAGACATGGCTAGTATTACCAAAAACTAGCAAGCACTCATCTGCCATTTTAGCTTTCTCTGCTCTTCTTTTCGCTGTGCTTGATATCAAATATCATACTATGTAACTTACTACTCATACTAAACCCTAACCAAAAATACTCAGTATTTGAACAGCATTAATATTTATAGTACACCAAAGATGACAAATATGCCAGCAATGCAAAAGAGGCTGAAAATCTTTGGCGAAGAAGGCAACAGAAAGTGTACATTAGCTAATTTATTGGTAAACTAAACAGGCTAACTGACAATGCTTACTGACAACTATTAGCAATGGCTAAATACTGTACCGTACCTACCTCACTCTGCTAGGTTGCTATGACAGTTTTTAACAAATTAATACATTTAATTATAAATATTTGCCCTTCTGATTTCATAACTAGCTGTGACTAGGTAGTGAATATGAACTAATTATTAGGTATTGGACATGAACTAGGTACTGAACATGAGCGAAAAGGCTAAAATGGTCCTTGATTGCCCTAAAGCTTTTCTCTGTCTCCTTGTGGCATAAATTTTGGCTTTAACTGTTGTACATTACATATTTGTGATGATGAACACAAAATCTACTGTATACAAATGAAGCAGCTTGAGGTAATTCTGAGGCAACTGTGTCCTCAACTGAATGTGACTAACAGCTAGTCAAGTAACTGTGTAGTTAAGGCTTATCAACTGGCTAATTCTAATATAATACTACTATGATGAATGTAGTGTACAGTGTGTATACAGTATATGCAGTATACAGTATAAGAATTTGAACAGAGCCTTTGTCTCCTATTGAAACAAAGCCCTCTCGTTTGCATCCCCCCTGTCTGAACGAGCGACACTCCCATCACCCGCACACACTCGTACACACTCAGCACCCCCCGGGAGGTGACATCTGGCGGGCCGCACGCGCTCGGCTGGTTCCAGATGCAGTGCCGGCGACACCGGAGCGCTCATTTCAATTCCATCAGCCTCTCCCAATCATCTCCACTCTCCCCTGTGCAACATTAACGAGCCTCTTTCATTTGAATACGTAATTAGCCGCCCGAGCACTCTGCTTCACTAATTTCGAGACAAAAGCATCGGGGAGCTGGGGGGGGGGGGGGGGGGGGGGGGGGGGGGGGGGGGGGGGGGGGGGGGGGGGGGGGGGGGGGGGGGGGGGGGGGGGTGGATGCAGAGATGGAAAAGGGGGAGAGACAGAGAGAGACAGAGAGAGAGAGAGTGGAAAAAAACATTTGCATGGCAATTTAGGACTGGGGGGATGAGGAGGGAGATGGCTGCATTTTTCGTTTTGCTCTTCCTTTGTCCCAATTTTTCTGCTACTCCTGTTTTTAGCACTGCACTGTCCTTTTTGTCTATTTTTATAGATATTACTGTGTTATAGATTGTTAGAAACCATTGAAGTGAGTCTTTTTGAGATCCTGAACAACTCAACACTGTTTGAGGTTAAAGTGTGATGATTTAGCCATGGCAATGTTCAATGCCAAATAAGCGGCTGTAAGCTTGCTTTAACTTTTTTAGCTACAAAACTAATGACCAAACATGTGACCAATTACATTTGGGGTAAGTGAGACATTGTTTAACCATACATTAACATACAATACATTGCACTTTTGCACAAACTATTGCATTAATCTTTATATATGCATGCATATAATAACAGTGAACATAGGCAATAATACACAGACACTCTCATTCATTAATCCTTTTTTCCTTAAACCTTAAAGGTTATCTGTGGCATCCGCTTATTTTTCTTACTAGCATTTTGCCATTGTTTAACATACATGCACGTGCACACATGCACACACACACACACACGCACACACACATACACACATACTTCACACTCACTGAGAAATGACAAACCCTTGTGTCTACTGAAACCAAACCTAATTAGCAATTAGAGACATAGTAAAGACAAATGAAAGAAAACATGTTGAATTACACAAGGCAAGCTTAAAGGAATACAGCTTTTTTCAACCTAATCTAAATCTTCTACATCTGTAGCTGATGTGTGATTAGAATGGACAAGAATTTCGGCATGTTTCTCTATACTGAGAAAAAATAATAAAATCAACAACAACTGAAAACCTGTTCATATCAGACTCTCTTAAAATGTAAGTGTAAGAGCATCTGTCGAATTCCTTTAACAAATGAAGTAATTGTTTGTTTACTGTAAATTACTGTCTTTCATGTAAATTATTGTATATTATGTATTTTTTTTCTAATATTGTGTATAAGTATTATATAGTATAAGTATGAATTGTGTATTGTATGTGTAAGATTCTGATTGTGAAATGTTCACAATGTTGTTCCTCTTTTGGCTGCTGCCGTTCAGGGTTGCCACAGCGGATCATTGGTCCGTATATTTGATTTGGCACAGTTTTTATGCCTGATGCCCTTCCTGACACAACCTTCCCCAATTTTGTCTGGGCTTGGGACTGGCACTGACAGCACACTGTTACACGCCACCCCAGTGGCTGGGGTTGGTTCCCTGGCCAGGAATCAAACTTGGGCTGCAGCGGTGAGAGCACTGTGGCCTAACCACTAGTCCTAACCACTATGAGGCAAGTCAGGGAAAGCTTTATTTGGGGCAAATCAAGAATCATAGTTACGCTGTAAAAAAATTTACTATAAATTTTACAACTAGATTGCACTGATTCACCCACTTCTACCACTGAACTGACTTGCACTAGAAGATTGCACTAAATCAATCCTAGCTAGTTCAGCTAGTTGTGGTGGGTCCATCGTTAAGGCTTTGAGTTACAGAACAGTGTGGTTGTGTGTTCAAATCCCAGCCCTGCTAAGTTCCCATGGTTGTGTCCTTGAGAAAGACCCTTAACCTTCTACTCAGTTGTAAGTTGCTTTTTTTAAGTGTCAGTCAAATGTACTGAATTATGTTTTACTTTATACTATGTAAGCTATTGTTAACTGTTTACAGCACTTTATTGGCAACCCTGTTTTTCACAGTGTACTATAGTCCATAGCATTATAGCAGTATACAGGCCAAACCCTGGAATACAAAATGGAATACAAAAACTCAGAAACTAGGCAAATACTGTTCATTCTTTATTACAAAAAAGCATAAAAAGACATGACAAAGAGATAGGGCAGCATGGATGGTATAAATACCTAACCTAATTAAGGGAAAAACAAGAAACAAACCAATGACACAATGGAGGCAGAGACAGGATCAAAATTAAAACTAAAATAATAGCGCATTGTGCTTATCACTATGGGAATCACAGCGTGATCAAGAAAAGATAAACCATGATAAAACTTCTTGGGATGAGATACAGTCAGAGAAAGTCTTACCAGAGTTTTAAACTGGAGCAAATGTAGTAAATAGCCATTTCAGTCACTTTTCCTATGGTTTTGTGGTACCCATATGTGAACAGATTGTTACACGCCCTGTTTGCATGACTACATTTGTAACCACAAAATCTTGCCACTGAAAAAATTCGGACTTGGAGCTTCATTTACAAACACCTTTGACTTGAAGAGAAAAAGTGTTTTGCATAAGCATGTATGGACATATTGAAATTTTTGTCTGTAGTAAACACACCTATGCTGGGGATGTTAAAAAAAAAAACAAAAAAAAAAAACGGGGCATATTCCTTTAAACACCCACAGCGTGAACAATCTGTGTATCCACTGAGGCTGAGTTGCTCAGCAGTAACATACACACACACACACACACACCTGCACAAACACTGCTATAATGTCTCTTGTTTTTGTCTGTGAGTGTAACATTCATCCCAGTGCGTGTGACACACACACACACACACATACACACCTGTTTCTGAAACGTGCTTCCTAAAGGAACACCTCATTACTATAAGTGTGTGTGTGTCAATAGTAGACAGAAATATAAATTTAGTCGTGCCTATAGAGAGGGAAGGTGTGCCACAAATGAAGG